AAAGATAAAAAGAAGAGATGGTATGACATTTTCTTTCCAAACAAAATTACATATACATAATCATTGATGAATGATTTCTTGTCATCACTTCAAATAATAGATAAACAATTTAGAGTGCTTTGCTTAGGTTTTATATTAGTTCATTCATAATAGAAATGCTCATCTGTAACGCCTTAGACATAGTGTATTAATCTGATAGCAATTTTTTTTTGTCTATACTCGACTGGTAAGATATTATTGAGTAATGGACTTTCTGTATATGTATATATATTTATATATATATAAGCTGTTTTTATTCTATGCTTGCTTGATCCTGTACAACACAATAGAGTTCCAGAACATTGACAAGCGTTTCATTTCTTATTCTCTTCCTCTCGTCCTACATTAGATCTGTTTAGATTATGTATATAATATATATGATGACTACAACATCAGCATGCATGTTTATGTTCAAAATTAGTTTCTTTCTGTTTTTTCTTTATCGTTTGCACGTGATTGATGAACGTATATGTTCAAAAATCGACCGAAATTTATGTGTATTATAGGTAAATTTATGATCGATAAATAGAAAATAAACCGTGAGTCGATCGGATTAGTGTAAGAAAGTAAAGCTTACTATTTGCTCTCACAAACAACAAGTTCAATAAATAAAATGACAAAGTCTAGTGAAGCTGGTCAAATATAAAAAAAAGAAAAACGAAACATTACTTATATATCAATAAGACCATTTGTTAAAGTCAACAGAGAAAAGAAAAAATGTGTTCATTTTGTCAATGTTTGATTAATTGAAATAAATTTTTTTCAAGTACAAATGTCAATTTTATTGACGAAAAAAAAAAAAAAAACTTTCTACGAAACCATTATTATGAATATTAATGTATCGAATGAAAAAATAGAGTCTTATATAAAAATTTCTAGTTCTGTCAAGGATATCTAAGATTATTTACATAGGATTCATATTTGTTCTATTACATTTATTGTACAACTATCGTTTTTTTTTTCAAGGGTTAAAAGAAAAGAAAAACGAATAGTAGTACATATTTTATTTCGGTTTTTTTTTTGGTCAGTTACATAAATGGTTAATAGAAAGAAAATTTCAAGTGGCATCTTTTACTCTCTTGACACATAAGTCATGATTTACGACATACGCAACATTATGGTCACTTACACAATTGAAAAAAAAGAAAGAAAGCATAATAACTCATAAAGATTATTATAATTCTCCAATGAATAACTGGTATCTAATCATGTTTATACTATATAGCAAAAAAAATAGATTCTTTTGAAAAATCCCAAGAGATCGTTTATCGTCCAATAGAGAAAATAGAAAAAGAAAACAGAAGATTTTGACCTATAGAATATCAGAATTACAAGGTTCAGCTACTAACAAAACTCAGCGGTTGTTGTTTATTTACTATAGAACTACCTCATTTATCTTCTCAAGTCTTCATCAAAGCTTGTTATCATCAACCTTCGCTCTCTAATCTATCTCTTACTAACATGCATACACAATGTATGCATAAAAAAAAAAATCCTAACCGGCTGTTGCCATCATCATACATCCGCACACACATACATAAAAAAAAAGATAACCTCGTTAATCAATCCATACATCAGCGAGCCATTTCGACGAGGATATATTGAATTGAGACTTATATATATATATATATAAAGAATTAACAAGGCCAAAAAGATAAACAAACCTTTGTTTATTGTTGAAATTAAAAAAAAGCAAAAAGAAAAGAATAACAAGAAAAAATTTCACTTTTACCCTGTACGACAACGTAAGGTGCTACTACAATCTGCTAGTCATTACTGATTGAAAGAAAAAGAAAATTTAGAATGTTTCTTCTTTCTCTCTCTCTATACATATGTGCATACCCATTTGTCTGCCCCTTGCACTGTACATTTATTCTTCTTTCTTGTTCATTCTATTGCTGTTACTGCTGTTGGCTTCTCTCTCCCTCTCTCTTTCCATTTTTTTCGTCATGTCGTCGTTTCTGTATGCTGCATCGTCAAATCGACACATATACATATATACACACACACACACACACACATAGCTGAGAATATACATCGAAAAACACACCGGCACGAGAAAAGAAGAAAGTGAATAAAAAAAAAAAAGGACAAAAGGTCGTCAACACTGCAAGAAGAAGCTGAACAAAATATGTGTGCGCGTGTATATATGAGGGCAAAAAAAAGAGATCTGCTGAGCAAATATATATGCACAGCAATTTCAGTGCTTTTGTATGCAAAAGTTTCAAGGTTTCTATTCCATCGAATCTCATAATTGATTTACAAGTAACACAAAGCAAGCATATGTATCGGATTTCAAGAGATAAGCCGTTTCTACCTGTGTTCGATGTATACAGCTCATCTATTTCTCCAGGGACGTTTTATACATTTAGTACGATTACTTCACTCATCATCTCATTTGTAGTTATATACAGAGGTATAAGTACGTGTGTACGTGCTCTGATGTAGGCCGCGAGAACGTACAACGTGCTATTCAATCAGACATTTCATTGTCAATGATGAAAAAGAGAACGTAGGTTGTCATCAGTACGAGAATCATCGAGAATCAATGATATGCTTTTATAACCGAGAAAAAAAATGACTAAAAAAGCCTTTAACTGCGTGACAATATTTATACATACATATTTTTTCTTCAATGCCTACTAATCAAGACGGAAGCTCTCACGGATCTCCTGAAGCGAGAAGACATAACGCATAATCAAATGACATTAAAAAACGAAAAAAGACGAGTGCAAATCATCGTAAAATATATATATGCGTTGGTTGTGTCAACAAATAACAACAACAAAAAACCGAAAAACTTACCACAGATTTCAATTTTTTATACCATGTTGAAAAAAGAGAAAAAGAAAACATCTTGTAAAATTCTTTTTTTCACTACAAGTTACTAGTATTTTTAGGTGAAAAAAAAAATTCTTTATTCATGTGATATTTTTTTGTAACTACACATATTTACTCACTGAATGTAGTATTCAGTCAAAAATAATAGTATGTTTTATCAATTTAATCTATACGCACGAATATATAGTGAATAATGTCTATTCACATTTTTTTTTTTATTCGTTTTAACATCGAAAAACAAATTTCTGTCCTCCATATTATTGTCTATCTGTCAATGAAGGAACATGCGTTTTATCCTTGACACTAATATATAGAGTAGTTTTGTTACTGACGAATGTGTGTGTGCACATATTTATTAATGTGATACTTGCCTGCTTTTTTTTTTATATATATATATGCATATAAAGACGAAAAGCACACATAATGAGATGTATTTATATACGATCGGTTACTCTGCATTTTTAAATACTAATATGATGTTGATATCGATGAGACATCGATAATGGGTGAAGATTTTATAGGTGCTAATAAATAATATAGACAAGGTGAACAAAATAAAAACGAACTACGTATATAGATGACAAATGATGATGAAAAAAAGAAACCGCTATAGGAATGTTTAAAAAAAATGAAATGAATGCATTAACAATGATAGGTGTATTACTTTATAAAGGACAAATTTGATGATTTGATAATGACATCTTCATACGAAATCGATAGTTAGTGGCTCAGGTGTAGCGAACGTAAAAATTTGATCCCTTTGTACATTGGAACAAGGATTTTCTTTTCGTTTTTTTTTTTTTTCTTTTTTTTCTCAGACATATATTTATCTAACTTCACAAAAGTATCTTGATTAAAGAAGTTTTTTAATCACCTGATGACACATACCTGAATAAAAAAAAATAATATAAAATTTGAGTGACGAATATTGTAAAAGGAAGCAAGCATCTCGTAAACGTGAAAGATTATTTATATGAAGCCTACTCTCGTCAGCGTCGAAGAGATCATGATATGCATAGGAAGGCGGAGGGAAAGAGAGAGAGAGAGAGAATTGTGTGTGTAAGACGAAAAAGAACGAACACAAATAAAAGGAAAGAAAAAGAAGAAAAGAAAATATGCTGTATTAGGCGGCAGCTAGCAGAGTAGGAAGATGAATAAGCGCGAGAGAGAAAAATAGAAAAAAGTTCATCATTCTACACACTACAATACTCTAGTGCGAAGAACAGAGAAAGAAAGGAAAAGAAAAGAATAGAAAAAAAAAAAAAAAACGGGACAACGGCGACGTCAAGACGTAGAAGTAGAGTGTTGTTACGATTACCTAATTGTCTCGCTCGACAGAGAACACATGCATAGCAAAAAAGACGTAGCTCGTTTTTCTTTTTTTTTCTGCTTTCGTCGACATCGGCGACAACGGCAATTCAGGCTACTGATGTGTGTTGATAAGCAAGCAAACGAGAAAAAAAAAATCAATTTATTTTCTGTTGTTTTTCCGTCATTATTCGTTCTGGTAAAGAAAAAAGAAAGGAGCAAAAGAAAGAAAAAATTTGCGCTACTGTTATTATTACTGCGAAATTCCGATTCTTGAGCAAGCATGTCCATAATTTTCATGGTCAATATGCATTAAATCATTTTGTCTATCTTTTTTGTAAACACTCAAATCTGTCTTAAGTCCTTGGCTTTTTTTGTGTCTTCATTTTTTATTTGTTAGTAATTCAGATACATTAATTACATAGTACTCAACATCATTTAGATACTCAACATGAAACAGTCAAACTTTTTTTTTTCCAACTTATTTCTTCATTAGACGAACATTCATTGTATACAATTTTTCATGATTATTAATAATTAGTTCGTTTCTTATTCCATCGTTTGATAATCATTGTTGATGGAGATTATGATTATAATAATTGAAGTAAAACAAAAAAAAACCACCGAGCATTTTTTTTGATGCACAAACAAATTCGACTTTTATGGTTAAAAAAAAACAAACAAAACAGTAATAAATAACTAAAATACATCTAGTCATATATTTATTTATTAGTACGAAAATAGCACCGACTATACATAAATGTTTGTTTTTCGAATTTTAATTTTTTTTCGTCGTATATATGTAAATTTCATCAATGCTGTGCAAATTTTCGCTGTTTTTCTTGTAATGATAACCATGATACTGATGTAATAAAACAAAGAACAATAAGTAAACAACCTAATATAAATGAATATGATAAATCAATAGTACGAGCAGAACATAATTCATCCGTAAGAATTTCTAATGCAAAACAATGCGAGTGTTTACGTTCACTTTTTAATACAGTATACATAATAGCTAAAAGACATGTACTGAACATTGCTATAAAAAAAAAAAAGAAAATAATTAGTTTATTGATGTTTATTTTTTAATTTCCGGTCTATTTGAATTTTCATCTATATCTCGAAGAAAGAAAATTTATTTGCAAATTTGACAAAATTTTTGTCAAAGATACAATTTTTTTATTTATTGATTTTACTTACTGGCAACAAGATAGATAATACCAATTGTCATTGTTGCTAGAACAACACCATTAAGAATACCTACAATAACACCAATAAGTGTACAGGCGCATAGAAGAAGTACAATTAAAATGGCACAAGCAGCTGCAACATTATGTAAACCTAAAATATATTTGAATAAAATTAATATTGACCATTAGAGGGAAAAAAAAACTTGTTATAAAATTTCATATGTTGATTTTTCGTTAGGCGTATGTTTTTCTTTTTTTAAGAAGTCTTCATGTTATTTTACTTGAAAACTTTACAATCCTTAAAAATATTATTCTATAATTGTTAACCTTGAAATCTTTCGTGACAAAAATAGTTGTAAAAAAACAAAACAATTGAGTTTGTTTTTCTCTAAGGATTAAATACAAAAATAACAAGGCTTGTTAAATTTTCTTTCTTTTTTTTAATAAATATATTAATATTTAATTAGAATTCCATCAATATCCATATTTAAGAGTACAATGTATGAAAAAAAAATTTTTATGAAATTATTTTCATGTACAATGCTGTGTGTGTGTGTGTGTGATTATATTATTTTTCTAGGTTGACAGTGGTTTGAATATCAAATCGCATAACTAAGCTTGTTGAAAATGAAGTGTATGAGTATAATTGATAATTCATAGGATAATTATGAGTTTTAGAATAACAGAATTTTACCATCGAGTAATTTCATGGATAATAAATTATAAAAACATGAAGTTTTCAAAAGAAATTCGTCGATCAGACTTCGTAGAAGTCGCTCTACTGGTACAACGGCGGATTCAGACGGGACGACAGCCCTTCCTTCCGTACTATTTTTCGACTTTTTCCGGCAGGAAATGCATAATAATGAGCTGATACAATGTCTAATTATACTTCAAAACACGTTTTGTGACTATGATCGTTTCCATTTACCAAAATCTTAGATTCACCATTATACTGATGAATAATATTTTTATAATTTGTATATGACTAACAGTACTCTCAGGTCAAGTTAGTAAAAAACATCATAATAACAGAAAATAGAAGTTTATCAAATTTCCCATTATTTTATTCTTAGATCTGTGATTCGTGTACAAATGTTAAAAAGAATTTTTTATCTTAAAATAATCAGCAAAGTAAATTCTACAAAGTCGGATCGATGAAATTTTATTTTGTATTAAAATTTTCGTGTTTTTACTATTCATAACTCATGAAATTTTGCAATTATATGTATAAAATTTTGAAAAATTAAATTATTTTTGAAGCCACAAACATCCTATGGATATCTAGTTATGATTAGAAATTCTATTTTTGTATTAGGCTTCATCTCATATAAAACTTATTGTTTATTTTATTTGTAATCATAGTTGTGTTCGACTAGAAAAATATTTTTATGCATATTCTATATAAAATATTCATATGAAATTCTTTAAAAGTACGTGACAACCTTTAATCAATAAAAATGAAATTAAAAAGCTTTTTTCAAACTTCAAAAACAAAGAAAAAAAAATAGAAAAACTAACATTTAATTCAGGAAATGGTCTAAGTAAAATATAATTTTAAAAAATTAATACGAGTATAATTTTTAAAATTAAAAAAAAAGAAAAACTTATATATATTCTTTTCTTTGTTTTATAGAAATTACATTATATTAAAATTAATAAAAGAAATTCCCTTCATAGATAGGCTATAAATTATTCATAATTTAATATTAGATAAATTTTCTATTATTTAAAAAAAAAAACGAGCCTAAAGATAAAAAACTTGATTCTTTGGTTATGTAAAGAACTAGAAAATGTAAAGATTCATATAGAGAATAATTTTCTTTTTCTTAGTAGAATTTCTTTTAAATAAACTTGTAATTATACTCTAAGGATATGTTTGTTGGTTATGTTTTATCGGAGAGTAATCTCTTTCTTATTATTATTACTTAAATTTAACTAAAGTTAATAAGAGAACATTCATTGATTTATCATAGTTGAATATTATAGAAAATTTTTTCAAATTACTATTAGAATTTGAATAGTTACATCGATAGATTCGACTTATCAATTAAATATATTTGTTTTTTTCTAAAAATCTATCAGTGAAATATTTAAATTAATTGCTATGTTTTCTCATTAAAATATCTGAAACGAACAGATCTTAATCTCTTTTCCGTCTAATTTTTTTTTTCTTTTTCCTCAAGTTTAATAAATTATTTTTTCTTTAGTATTAGTTTATTCAATGTGTAAATAAGAAAAAAAAACAATCAATTCATAGAGTATATTCGAATATATATATATATATATATATATCCTTGAAAAAAAAAATTTTATATTAATATATATATATATACATCTAATTAGTTTAAAATTTTTTTTTTTATTGTGAAATTGAATATATTATAATATTCATTGTTTTTCTTCATAGAAAATGAAACGCAAATTCTTATTTTTTAACGAGACTATTTACAAAAGCTTAATTGACTAAAAGAATGGTGTCACTATTACTTTGTTTTTTTTTTCTTCTTCTTCTTCTTCTTCTTCTCATATTTCTTTTAATATCGTTCTTCTATAATCGGAATAAATGTAAAAAAAAAGATTTCATGCGGAAAAAAAAACTAAATATGAAAACAAATATATGTTGTATATATTTACGTATTAGTTCTCGTCCAGGATTATTCATTCCATGAATGACATCATCATAATGATTATTTGCTACTTTTAAAACACGGCATTTCGATAATTTTAAACGTTGACGTACATTTTGAGATAAATAATTACATTGACGAAATATACCTTTATGTGTTTTATACAATATTGTATTATTATTAACACCTATTGCTATAGCACGAAATTGTTGTTTATCAATTGCTAATGTTTGTGTTTGATTTTGATCATGTATATTATTCAATATATGAATAGAATCATTAGTTGTATTTTCAACAACAAACCATTTTATATGAGAACGTAACTTTCCGAGATCATAAATAGTTATTGACCAATGATCGGTTGCAAATGCTAATATACCAACAAGATTCGTCAATGCTGTAGCAATAATTGATAAAACTTGAATAGATAGTAAAGTCACCATGAAATAAAAACTAACATTAGAACTAAGAATTTAAAAATCTCGTATTGCAAAAGCAGATGTTTTATAGATAAAGTGAAACAACAGAAACGTGATGAGGACGACGATGTTGACGACGAAGCAAAGAAACGTTCATTAATATTTTCTATTAGAAAAAACGTAATATGATTCTCGAGCGAGTGAGCCATATAAAGTAAGCAGAGGCGAAGGAAAAGACGGGTATGTGTGCGTGCGACCGGCTTCCTGAGGGAAAGATGAAAGTGAAGAGAAAAAAAGAGCATAATGTATTTGTATGTGTGTGTGTGTGTGTGTGTGTAACACCACACAGTTTTGTTGTTTGCGGGCGTATATACGATCTATTGTGACATAAACATGCATGTGCGTGTCTATGTTAGAAGTTCGCATGTGTTACTCTTTGTCTTGTCATCATTTATTGAACCGAATGAAATGAAAAATACTCAACGTAAACAGATAGGTATTTCTATGATGAAAGAACACGTAGCATTACCATTCTTTTCTTTTCAACTGAACTTTTTGATGACTTAATAACGAACAGTCAGTTTTTACTTAGTTTTTGATTAAAATTCAATGGTTTATTATTTTTATTGGATTAGTATTAATGTAGAAAAGAAGACAATGGAAGTTTTTTTTTTTTTTATCATTATTCTTTCAAGTAATTCTACTTTTGGATTGAAAGGCGTTCGTTTCTCCTCTCCGCAACTTGTGCATTATTTACCTAACCGATTTTATATACGAGAACTGTTTATTTTGCTTGAAAACTAACTTTTTTTTAGTCTATATCTTCTATTAGCGGATACTGTCGATATAAAAACAATCAAAAAAAAAACTTATCAAAAATTTATTGCTCGCTTAATTATCTGTATAATTTTCATTTATAGAGAAATAATTGAAATTTTTTGTTTTAAATTGATTGTTATGCAAGACATGTTATTTTCAAATGTGAACAAAAAACATTATAGAAATGTCAATTTTCCTTTTTGTCGCATCATCAACCAATCAAGCATAGTTAGTCTCAAGAGAAATAATAAATTTCTTTTTTTTTTATGATTGATTCTTACATAGTAGCAATGGTTTTCTGAACTTGTTGAAGTATGTGTTAGTTAAATTTTATCATACTAAAAAAAAAAAACAGTAATGTATGGAAAAAAAAAGTAATTAAATCTTGACAATAAACATATTATTTTTGAATGGATAGGTCTTGATGACATTTATAAGAAAATTTTGATTGAATAACTTTTTATATATAACATGTTAGTTTATAGATTTCACGAAAGCATATTAAATCTTTTTAGATAATAAACATCCACATATATTCAATTATTTATTTAGTATCGTCTAAATAAGCTGCATAATAAACTTAAGATGTGAACCGAAAGTTTCTAGACAAAATATTTGACTATTTTTTGCATATTTAAATACATTGGTTGTGTATTAGAATCAGAATTGTGTGTTCTTTCTGAATATATGCTTAGAAATTTTCTGTGACTTTTCATTATTGAACTAATTATATCTAAATCTTGACAGGACTCAAAAAAAAAATTTCTGGAAAGGGAAAAATCTTCTGTCTGAAGACAAGTATGCTTTCTATAGACGTCAAATAAGTTCTGTAAAGATATAGTACTTGATGGTGATGTCTACTCTACAAAATGATGCAAAAATGGAGAGTTTCGATTAATCCACTACGAAATGACAGAGTTGTGGCAGAACAACATTTTACACTGAAAAGGTGAAAATCGGAAAAATAGTCATTTTTCTTGTGCTAGACTCTATAAAAAGCTTTTACTGCACCTTAATAGTTTGTAAAAAATTTACTGCAATTTCAAGAATTATTTTCTGTATCTTTCAATATATTCGATAAAATTTTGTAGCATGTCTAGAACAAGTTTTATAGGGGATCTTGTTTCTCCACAGAATTTTTGTGTCTTTTTAAGATTCACTTATAGTTCAATAGCCAAAAGTCATAGAAAAATTCTAAGCATATATATTCTGAAAAAATTATAAAATTCTGCCTCTAATATACTATCAATGCATTAAAACACACGAAAAATAGTCAAATATTTTGTCTAGAAATTTTCAACTCGTCTCTTAAAAGGAATAAAGTTAAACGAGAAAAACATGACATTTGTTAGAATTATTGAATATTGAAAAATACTTGAAAGTACTTTATAAAATATATTGTCGATATTTCATTTTATTTAACATCCTATATTGATCAATTTTAAGAATGAAATTATTTTCTTCTCTAAGATGGAAAAATGTCGAAACTAGCAAAATAATTAAAAAAAAATTGTGTTTTCTGTACATGCTGATTCTATAATCCTCTATAGTTTATTATTGGTGTAAGATCAAAATAAACTAAAACAATTGCTATTCAACGTTGTATAGATCATCTATGTGAACAATAGTATGATGCTCTGTTGATATAACGCAATATTTAAATGATTTCTCATTTACAGTTGCTCAGCGGAAAAAAGTAACATTACTATTTCTGTCGTGTTTTTTTAAAATCTCTTGACAAGTTCAAATAATAGCATTCGATAGAGAAGTATTCAAAGTTGATCACTGCTCGGATGAATTATTAACGGAAACTTGTAGGTTCGAATATTGTAAGTATATTGTCTTTGAAGTATGGATACACCAATTCTAAGCAATTCCTGAAACTTCAACTCAAAAATAACATATTAGTCATATTGATTACTCACCGATTCATATCAACTGTGAATCTTCTATCCGATGCTATTGTTTGATTTCTTTGACTATTAAAAAATAAAAGATTACGGAATCGAACGAATTTTGTTTTAAACATCATAGATTTCGACTGATTATGAGAACTACTACTTTAGATTCAGCGACATCAATAATAGCTTCGAATAGAGTAGTCAAAACTGAGCAGAATTATTATAAACACTTGATATGACGAAGAGTTTTCAAGATTTAAAAAATTTCATCTTTGAAACTATGGTCCAAGAGTTGTACATTTCTTGTTACTATTTATTGATTTTTTTCTGTTTTGTTATTTTCAAGAAATATTTGATGAAAACCAAGATTAGAAAATCGATTCTCTTGAAAAATCTTCGAAAATCTGAACAATTTAACGTATTACTCTAGCCAATTCAATTTATACGTTGAATATTTATTTCATAAATATCTTTTTGATTTCCGATCAAGTGACAACATATGGCTACTTATGCTGAAGAGACATTGATTAAGATTCAAAATATGTCACATTAGAGATAAATAAATACTTTTACTAAATAATTATTTTTTTATGACGTATCTGTGTTTTTTTACGATTATCTATTCTGTCACCTTGCTTAATGTTATCTGTTAATTATTGCATAACGGTTATTGATAATTTCATGTAAATATGAACCAAAAATAGAAATAGAAATTGATAATGTAGAGAATATTATAAAATAAAAACATTGACAAATTTTGAGTATTAAACATAAAAGTAACACGAAGCAGTGCAGATTTCTAATATAAAATTCAACCAATAGTAGAGATAGACAAGTAGAACATCTTATTTTACAAGAACTTTTAATTATTATCTAAACCTCTAATTAAAAAGAAGTACTCTTTATATATAATTTGCAGTTTCTTTTTTTTTTACTGGGACATGATAAAAAGGATCAACATATGCGACTGTAAATATTCTTCATCATTGTAATTATCTGCATGTTTCAATTTCAACGTATTCATTAGGATTTTATTATTAAAAAGAAGACAACTCTTCAAAGCAGCATCTTGACTTGTATAAGACTACAGCTGAATCTATAAAGTATCATAAAATCATTTGCAAAGATTACTGAGCAAGATAAAAGAACAGAAAATATCTTATCATTAAAATTAAGTGAGGTGTTGGAAATGCAAAATTAAAGTAAAACTTTTTTATATATGATTAGGTAGAGTGTGACGAGTTAATCAACAATATATGTATTTTCATTTCTTTTTCGGATGAGTTTTTATGGAAAAATTTTCAGTTTTCTCCGATGACCTACTTTTTCTCAAAAAGAAATCAATTTTTTTCTTTCCTTCAAATTTCAAAACTGGTTTTTTTTGGATTCAGCATAAGAAAATGAGTCTCGTGAAGTCATTTATAAATAACTTCCCTAGATCCATCTTTTCATGCTGAATGTAAAAAGAACACTTTTAAAATTTGAAGGAAAGAAAAAAATGACCTATTTTTGAGAAAATAGTAGATCATCGAAAAAAACTGAAAGTTTTTTCTCCTAAGAACCCATTTCTAAAAAAATAAAAACACATCTATTTTTAATCAGCTCATCATACTCTACCTAACCATATATAGAAAAACTTTTACTTTAATTTTACATTTTCGACATTTTATAATGAATCATTTCTGATCAGAAAGGGCAAATACAACTCGAAGAAATCATATAAAAAGTTCAGTCGAAAAATAATATTGAACACTGTGTGATAGTTATAATTAAATGATTAATTATATAATATTCAATTATTAAGAAATCTTTGTACTCTATTCACGATACATGAACACGAGAAAATTTCGTCGAGATAAATTGTTCATTAAAAAGATTATTATGCTTAAATAGAGAAGATATGTTTTTACAGAACGAAAATGAAATTCATTTATAAAAGACAAATAACTACAGTAGTGTGTCTTTCTTTTTCAAGTCAAAACTATTCTGATAAATATCGGATATGATCATCAAACGATATTGCTGTTACCTTTAGAGACAATTTAACATAAACATCATTTCTATTTTGATAGAAATTACAGAAATCATTGACTTTTTTTTATGTAACTCAATGATTCGATGAATAGCAGCTAGGCCGTAATCGTTGACTTGAAATGTAGAGTCGAGCAACTCAATTCAAATTATAACTTGAATTGAATTGGTAGAAGTTTTTCAAGATCTGTGAATTCAGTTCAATTTAATTTCAATAATATAATGTCATGATCCTTTTCTTTTTGTAATATTTTATTAGTTTTCTTATATTAA